GTAAAATTAGTCATTTCTAAATATGTACAGGTGCTGCTTTGTAATAACCAATTTAATGACTAGTTTAAGTATTCTAGAACGGTGAAGAGCTGTTGCTTGGAAAGGGCTCAGGTTTTTGATTCCTAGCCTTGCAAGTGCTAAATTTGCATAATTCCTTAAATCACGAATATGCATTCATTTGTTTATGTTCATGTTCGTTTATGTCCTGTGTGTCTCGATGACAATGGAGAAAAAGAAGGAAAGTACATGCCTGGACATTGCACCCCTTCTTTTTCTAATTCATTCCATTGACAAAGTGATATGACTGTGATTGTTGAGAGGGTTTAATGATCCAAAAGGCATGATGATATTTTTTCATTAAAAACTTTTTATAAAATAATAAGTGATATTTCAAATATTTGATTTTATCTAACACATAAATTTAACCGAATATGTTAAATATTATATCAATTTAATCATATTATTATTATTTTTCAAAATTTTTTTGTCTCTTATCAATAAATATAAATATAAATATCAAGATATTATCATCACGTTTTTTATTTTATCTCAACTTTTTTACTTTTTTTTTAATTTTTAATTTTTAATCTCTGACTTACATAAATACAACAAATACTTTTTTATTTTTGCACTTAACCGCTCTTTTCCTTTTCATCTTTCTAGGGATATCCTCCTATTAGCGCTGCACATGAAAAAATGATCGCCACCGGAGCCACAAAGGACTATCTAAATTGATTCTTTTCTGCCGATAAGCTCCAATTGCATCGTAGGAATTACAAAAAAAGGGCTCCTTTGTATACTTATAGTTATTATCGTAAATTCTTTCATTTTGATAGTTTTTTCGATTCCATGGATTATACCTATTCGCACAAATACCTCGACGATTCCCGCTCGTTAATACATAGAGCCCAATAAGCATATCTTGAGTCGGTACGGAAATGGGATCCCCAATAGCTGGAGACAAGAGATTCATATGAGAAAACATAAGTAAACGAGCCTCCGCTTGCGCCTCTAAAGATAAAGGTACATGAACAGCCATTTGATCCCCATCAAAGTCTGCATTGAATCCCTTACAAACTAATGGATGTAAACAAATAGCGCGTCCTTCCACTAAAATAGGTTGGAATGCCTGTATACCTAATCTATGCAGAGTAGGCGCTCTATTCAGCAATACAGGATGTCCCTGCATAACTTCTTGCAGTATTTCCCATACAATCGGCCCTTTTTCCCGTTCCCGAATTTTACTCTTAGCAACTCCTATGTTCGGCGCAAGATGTTGTCAACCTTGACTGTCTCTTTCTCTTTCTGTTGATTTTTTTTTTTTGAAATTTAGACCGTAATTTCTTTTTTTTGTAAAAAAAATTTATGATAAATAGATTACTCAGTCTCTCAGATCAAAAAAATATATCACACCTGATAATATAAGACAAGTGACTGTAAGTCGTATATTCGAAATGACACCAATAAATGATCACCAACAATACTTGAAATCAATACCTTAATCTTAATTCAAGTTTTAATATATTTTTATATGGTACCAAAAAAAAAAGGCAAAAATCCAAAAAAATTAAAATGGCAAAAAAATCTAATGATCCAAAATTTTAATATACTCGAAACCAAGACCCTAATCTTAATTCAAGCTTTAATATACTTTTATATGGTACAAAAAAAAAAAGGTAAAAATCCAAAAAAATTAAAATGACAAAAAAATCTAATGATCCAAAATCAGGTAGTGTGGATTAGGCATCTTAACTATATGATTTGGTTCATCTAAAATATTGACTCTAGTATTCAAGTTTCAATATTGAACTACTTTCAAACACACGATTGCATTTCATTTATAATTTTTTTCACTATAATCTTACGATTAGAATCGGTTATCTCGTATATTTTTTACTCATGCCAAAAGCAAAGGGATGTTTTAAACTAGAATTAGGTCACACTAAAGGAAGAAGGAATTGAAGCCTTCAGATTTCCAACAACAGTTGCCAAAAACATCACCAAACCCCAATATAAAGTAACCAATTTTCTCTTTTCATAATAGGCATTCTTGAAACCAACCACTTTCCAAGAACAAGCTGAACTCTTCTTTATATTCTCTGCCGATGAAAACACTTGCATTGAGTTTTTCAAAAGCCTAAACCTCTTGAAGATGTCAAAAGCTGACAATAATGGTGCTCCTAGGCACCGTCTTAAGCGTGCTTCCACACCAGGGAAGGCAACAGTGCCTGCCATTGGCAAGGTGTTTCCAAGGCAACTCAATGCTCAAGATTGCCTGGTGAATGGCTACTTTTGTGATACAAAATGCGAAGATGTCTCCATCAAAGAGAAACTGATACGTTTATGTAAGCAAAATTCTATTTGTTTCAAACTGCCATAGGTGGCCTCTGAGAGAATTACAAGCATTGATTTTCATTGCTTGAAGCTGACATCAAACCTAAATAAAGGACTAATTTATAGATTTGGTATTTTGTATATTCAAGTCGTGTAAAACACTAACAAATTAGTTCGTTTTCATTGTATGTCACAATTTATATTGAAAAATAAAATACGAAATATGTTTGTTTTTTTTTTTTAAGTTAAACCCGTGTATGATTTTATTGAAATTTTGATCTTAATCATTTTTTCTACTCGGAAGTAGTATTGCCATTTATTATATATTAGGCTCATCATGCATTTCTTTTTTATTCTTTGGCAGGTAAAACAACTACAGTGAAGACAGGGTACACAGTCATCTCCAGGGAGATTTTAGATAAATACCTAGAATTGGCAAATGAAGGCTCATCAACAATCAAAAGGCCAGAAATAGCAAACCAGGCAGTTGTTGAGATGGCATTGGAAGCAAGCCAAGCTTGCACAAAGCAATGGGGGAGGCCTGCTACTAATATCACCCATATCATCTATATGTTTCTTCCAGTGAGATACGTTTACCTGGTGCTGATCTTGACCTTGCTAGCTAAGCAACTTGGCCTGAAAAATGATGTTAACCGGGTAATGCTCTATTTTCTTAGTTGTTATGGTGGTGTCACCGTCCTTCGAGTGGCCAAAGACAGCCAAAAACAACCCAGGAACTCTTATTCTTTTAACTACATTTGAAACTACCATCCTTGATTTTGGACCTCTAAACAAAGCACGCCCTTACGACCTTGTTGGTGCAGCACTTTTTGTTGATGGAGGAGATCATTGGAACCGATCCAATAACGATCACAGAATCGCCTTTCATGGAACTTAACTATGCAGTGCAATAATTTCTGCCAGGAACACAGAATATCATCGATGGGCGCCTGTCTGAAGAAGGCATAAACCTCAAACTTGGCAGATACATTCCTCAAAAGATTGAAGACAACATCGAGGAATCCTTCAGGAATCCCATGTCCAAGGCTAGTTTGACAGAATTCAACCACTTGTTTTGGGCTATGCATCCTGGAGGACCTGCTATACTTGAATCGCTTGGAGAACACTCTCAAACTGAACAATGGGAAAATAGAATGTAGCAGGAGAGCATTGATGAACTATGGAAAATGTTAGCAGGCAACACCATTTTCTATGTAATGGGATATATGAGGGAGGAGTTGAGTAGAGAGTAGAGACCTACCTTAGTATCTGTTCCTGGAGTTACACTTGAAGGCATTCTTCTTCGCGGCCTGTAACCACAATCATGTTGGAATAGGAGTCTAAATGTATATCAATACTAACAAGCTATTTAGGCCGATAAAATTCAAATTCAATTTAATCATTGTTAAGTCGAACTCGAATAGTTTGATTTATCGAATAAATCAAATTTGAATATCATAATATTCAACTCGAATAATACGTGAGTCTATTTGAATTTTTAAATTTTAATATATTTTTATTATTTAAATTAAAAATTATTATTTTATTTATATATATATCAATAGCTCGACCTCGAGTTTAAACATATAATCGAATACGAAAATTGAATTTATTTTTATTAAATGAATATAATTGAATGAATTCGAATAATTTAATTTTTATTTTGAGTTGAATTTAAATTTGAAAATAAAAAATTGATCGAATTCAAATCAAATTTCGATGAGCGAATTTTAAATCGAACTCAAATTTAAACTTCTCACTATATTATTTCAGTTCAACTTGGTTACACTGAATAATTGCATTTACTTTGTTGTTTATACGTTCTTCAATTGCTATTAACATTGGTATGCTCAATTTTTCTTTTTTTATTCATTTTTTTTGAATAAGTGAGTGATTTTTTTTTATTCAAAGGACAATAAAATACTATTACATCAAAATTGTTCTAGCCAATATTGTTTGGAAACAAAGAATCATATATAAAAAAAATAGTGTTGTTTAAGCCCTATGTTAAACAAACATTATTATTTACACAATCTGCGGCAACTTATGTTAATCTTGTTAATCTCTATCGAATCATCTTTTTATCAAGAACTTGCATGAAAATTTTTTGTAAATTTTCCTTTTTTTGGTTCAATAATAAATGTATATATTTTTTACTCAAAATATGAGTATTTTTGTTTAATTTCAAACAATGAGTTAGGCTCCCTCTTAATCAAAAACTAAAACAAATATTATCCAAAAATTAAAAACTTACATGAATTTTGATTTTTTTAAAATCTTAACCTAAAAATAAAAGAAACTTCATACGTGTATCATCATACTATCATATCCAAACTCGAATGAAATAAGAAGGGTTGTGATAAAATAACAGACCACATAAAACATAATCAAATCATGATAGATCAAAAAAAATTTTTATGAGATAATTATCTCCAAACAATACGCTACATTAGAAAAAATTTAAAATTATGATCTAATATAATTTTTTTAAAATTTTTTTATGTAATCAATTTAAAAAATAATGAGATATAAAGTTTAATTTATTGTTGAAATAATCTTTAAAAAAAAATAATAAAGTGTCGTGATTTAAGCCCTAACTGAAGCAATAATATTAGAACACTTATGGCCCAAATTTGTTAAGCGGCCAAAAAGTCAGATGTGGGCCCAACCGAGTAAAAGGTTTCCCCTTAGATCCGTACCCTTCACTCCCAATACGACGAAAGTGAGTCCAAACGACACCGTGTAGGACCTCATTTCGGGGCTGGCTGTTCTTCCCCGTTAAGAATCCGTGATTTCGTACATGAAAATTTTCGAATCTAGAATTACTACTATAATCCGAAAGCTGCAAAAATTTCACCGATAATCGATAATTCGAGAAGACTTCAGGTAAGTGCTTCGTGAATTCACTTTTAAAAATTGAAATTTTTGTTAATTGTTGATTGTCTGAGGTGGGTTTTTGCTTCCTCTTTTATCTTTCTTCGATTTTGATTTGATTTTTTGTTTAAGTTGAACACGTTATCCATCGAATCTTTCTATGAGAACGATTTAGGGTTTAAGGATCAGTGAAAAAGATGAAAGAATCAAGTAATGATTTTTGTGGAAGGTTTAATTACCGTATAAATCCCTAGTCTTAGGCTTTTGGAAGCAAATTATTTATCATGGAAAGGCTCTGCCGAAAACTTAGATTAATAACGCTTGGATTGCTCTTCTTCAAGGCAATTTTTTGTTCTTAACTTCCCTGTTTTTCCTCTTTGAGTGTTTTTTTATTAGACTTGATAATGTAAAACAGGCAGTAACATGACACGAAAATGATGAAAAAAAGAAGAAGAAAGTGACATGGTTTAAAAATTTAGCAAAAACCATATATGAGTTTGATAAATCTAAAAAAATGCATTTTATATTTTCATGTCGACACAAATTATGATTCGTAATTTTCGTGTAAAACACAATATGAATACACGAATTGTTAGTATTTTACATGATATGAGTATAAAAATTGCCAAGTCTACTTTTTATTCAGAATATAACTTGTTGTTTTTTCCTCTATTGGTTGTTAGAGGTTGATCCCAATGAGGGAAGCTGAAAGGTGCAGAAATGGAGAATCAAGGACACCGTTGGTGGTAAGTGTTTCTGCTTCGAAAGTCCAGGTTTTATTTTTGTTTGAAAATGTTTTATATCCGTCTGCATGCTGTTTAGGTTCCAAGATTTTACTGGGTTTTAAAGAGGTTATTTGGACAAGTGGATACCAGTTTAAATTTATAACATACTAGTATTCTGCTTTCTCTGCTATGGTTCTTTTTCCTTTCGGTATTGTTTCATGTGTGGTTTTCTGTGCACTTGTCTCAATTGGAACTGATGTTGTTGCTAACATTTAGTTTGATAGAAGCTTTTTCTTCTGCCTTTTAACTTTGAGATTAGATCTTCTTTTGCAATAACATTCAGTTTCTATAACTTTATAACATGGGTTATAGCTCTTTTTTTTTTTTTTTTTGGGTAAATTAGTTTTATAGCTCTTTGGTTAATGACATTAAGACTGCATCTGCCCTTTCTTTATCTTAAACCTCAAGTAACAGCAACCCTGTTGTCAGGCACAAAATGATGGTCTGAGATATGATGGGCTTATTCCTCAATTATTTACCTCTTTACCAGCTCTAAATGAAGCTGCTTCTTATCTTGCACAAACAACTACTTACTTAACTGGTTGTTTTTCTGATTATTCTGGTAAGTTGTCTCCTTTCATCTTGTATTTCTTCCTTTTCCTTCTTCAATATTTATGTACTGAAGTTCCATTTTTGCTCTTTTCTGTTCCTATTTCCTTTCTGGAACTTAATTGTTAGCCTTTGAAGAGTTACTTATCTCATTTTCATGTGGAACTTGTTGATAAATCAAACTAATAGGGTTCTTCATTTCTTTTTGGTATATATTTCGTTTTCTCATTGCGTTAACCCATGAATTGTGGATGATTTCATTGCAATACTTTTGGAAATGTTTCAGTGGAACCTTCTGCTAGAGATTCGAGGGATTCCATTGTACATGCACAAGAATTAGTAACATTTTCTTCTGGACAGACCGAGGAATCTGTGATTAGTGATCATCCATTTTCAAGAGGAAGCAGCTCAACATTGTCTGAATCCTCTAGTCATGCAACTACTGCCCCCGCTAACCATGTTGGTGTAGCAAGGGCCTCTGCCAGGGATCCATCTGAAAATACTGATGCGATAGTACAATCAAATCACACTGGGCAAAATGGGATTTCCATTTTTCAAGGGTACAGATTCCTATATGCTTAATTTTGGATGTCTTATAAGGAAATTTGTGAAAATGGATTGTGATTTTTAAATATCTTCCCATACTTAATATTACTAAATAGTTGTAGTTACACATGATGATAAAAGGTCAAAATGTTTGCAATTTATAAGTGAAGTTCCTCACACACTATCAACGGATATAGGATGGTGATAATGGAGCATACTTTTTTTTAACTTGAAATTCATGGAGGTTTTTGGATAATAATCTTCCCCTTTATTTTTTTGTGATCTCTATTTGTGTAGCTTCTTAGGTAGTGCAGAAGCAATTTTAGTTACATGGAGTAATGAATTGTTTCAATCTTTCAATAACAAAAAACCTCAGGCTTATTGAAAGAGCACGGAGAACTGTTCGTGGATCTGCAGATGATATAGGATGGTTGAAGCGTGATCCCGAGATGCCTTCAGTTGAAGATGGAACTGAGAGGTTTATAGAAATTCTAGACAATATTAGGTAAAATGGGCTTTGCATCTTTTATGTGGCTATTATTTCTTAGCATGGTTATGCACTTCTTGATTAGTTTGCTCTAATTTTGTCAGGCATGGTCTGCACAAACTGCCAAGCTCGGTGGTTTATTTATTGGTTCCAGGTACCTTTGTAATTTTTCCTCCTGAAAATAATAATCATTGTACTCTGGGCATTGCAAGAGAAGGAAAAAATGTAGAAATTGGATGAAGGGGGGGAGGGATAATTTTGAATATGATGAGCTCAAGTAGAGATTAGAACAGAGATGCTATTTCTTACAGTACTGTTTTTAGGAAAATAGATTTGATGACTAAAGGTTTACTGTAAACTGGTTAAAACATCAAAGATTTTTTCTTAAAAAAAATTAGGGGGAAACCAAACCCATCCTTATTCGAGTTTGACTTCCTCACCAAGTATACGAGTACCTTCCAAATGATCTATTTCATGTCAGCTATGAAACATATTGTATACCTTTCAGAGGTGGAATCAAGAATGTAGGTTCATCTTTGCCTTTACTTCATATAGAAAGTGATTAAGATTCTACCTGGGATTTCAACTGACTAAAATCAGTTATGAAAACTCATACGTGGAATACTAAAATGGACCAAGGCTGAAGTTGACTCTTGAGTTCAAATTCAAAATCTAACCCTGAACTTAATCTTTTTGAATGGTGAAGTTTGATGCCATTGGCTGGCATGACACAAAAAGTGGACGTCGTGAGGGATCTTTGAACTATGTTGTGTTAATTTCTCCTTTTTGTAACTTCGGATTCAATATTTCTATGTTAGTTAATTTCTCAGTTCTGGCCATTTTCATGTTTTGCAGGTCTTTTCAGCAACCATGGGCCTCTTTACTTTGTCAGTACAAAAACAAGTTTCTCAAAGATGGGTCTGACTTGTCATATTGCCAAAATTCACAGTGAGGTATATATAATTAGTCTTCACTTGCACAGTTCTATTCTTTTATGTCTATACTGAACATTGAACAATCACTTATCAGGCTTCAGTTGAGAAAAATGCGAAGGAGATAAAAGATTACATTGAGGAAATTTATTGGGGTTCCAAGAAACGCGTCATGATTCTTGGACATAGCAAAGGTGGAGTAGATGCAGCGGCTGCTTTATCTATGCATTGGTCTGACTTGAAAGATAAGGTTGCTGGGTTGGTATTAGCACAGAGTCCGTATGGTGGAAGCCCTGTAGCTTCAGATATCTTGAGAGAAGGACAGCTTGGTGATTACGTTAATCTACGGAAACTTATGGAGATTATAATTTGTAAAGTGCTTAAGGTATGCAAGTGGTCTTCCATACATTTTCTTTCCTCTCAAGTGTATACAAAAATTGACAGCATGATCATATGCAAATATGTTTGCTGCGACTTCTTGAGTTTCAGTGGGAGTCTACTTTCTAGTGAATTGAAGTTGCATTGTCTTTTAATAATTTGTAGCTCTTCACATTTTATTTTTCTGACAATCTTTACATGAAACATTCCGACTGTAAAGGGGGACATGCAAGCTTTGGAAGACTTGACTTATGAGAGGAGGAAGGAATTTTTGAAGAAACATCGTTTACCGAGTGAGCTTCCCGTTGTCTCTTTCCATACCGAAGCTGGCATTAATCCTGCTGTTCTGGCAACATTATCTCATGTTGCTCATGCGGAGCTACCATTGATGGCTCCCCTCTCTGCTGGCCAGCCTGCAAGATTGCCTGTGGTCATACCCCTCAGTGCTGCAATGGCTGCATGTGCCCAGTTGCTGCAAGTCAGGTATGGTGAAAAGAGCGACGGGCTTGTGGCACGCTGTGACGCAGAAGCCCCAGGATCTGTCGTGGTGCGACCAAAACGAAAGTTAGAGCATGCCTGGATGGTTTATTCATTATTGAACGATGACCCTTCCGAAGCAGATGCAACGCAAGTGTGCGAGGCTCTTCTGACATTACTCGTGGAAGTTGGGCATCAAAAACGACATGAACTCTCAATGAAAGATGAATGACATCAATGGGCTCAGCTCGTTGTCACGCTTGGTTGTAATTCTTTGGCCATACGACTTCAGTGACTTGATTCAAATCTGATATTTGATGTGTATATAGCTGAAAGTTAGGCAGACTGTGTGCCCAATTTGTAAACACAGAAAAGGTATGACAATAATCAAAATGTACACGAAATTGTTTTATATAGCTGAACTTTCTCAATTATCAAGAGCTAAGTTCTTTAAAGACAGATTATTAATTATGCTTAATTGCTATGTTGTTTTCTACTATTATCATTTCTAATTAAGATTTAAATTTTAGTAACTTCAATTATAAAAATACCCAAATTATCAACCGATTTTAGGAATAGAAAACTCAAGCTTACATCTCAATTAGATATGATAATACATATATTTGCATCGTATTTATGTTTGTTTCACATTAAATAAATATAAAATATAAAAATTATTATATTATAATTCGTATAAATTTTTTTTTATTTTTTTAAAATTTAAATTATATATTTTTATATTTTTTATATTATTTTCATATTATATTTATAGTTATTTCCATTAAATCTTAATTTCATATTTAAAAATTATCTCATAGATAACAATATAAAATATAATATGATAATACGATATTAATATAATATAAAAATAAATATACAAATAATATGATTTAAATTTTTAAAATAATTATACATAAATTTAATAAATAAAAAATATATTTTATATTTTCATATATATTCATATTTTTTATGTAAAATATAATATAAATATACAAATTATAATATTTTGTAACAGATAAAAGATATGAATCACCTAGATGCATAGATAGGCGCAGTTACCGGTTGTTCCAACGACCAGTCACTCTGACAGACAAAACCGAGCCACATTCGACGACCGCCAATAAGGTTTCGAACCTCCAATGAAAGCCCTCAAGTCAAACGAAGCACCTCATTGTCCTTTCACCCCTTCACTCAATCCGATTCCACCCCTCACTCTCCTTCGTTCCATTCTTAGATTCTTCTCCAATAGGTGTGTCAGTTAAGCATCAAAACTCGAAAAAATTATTAAAGAAAAAAAAAAAAGAAAAACTCGGTTTTTCTCAATTCCCAAAACTACCCTTCCCCCATTCACGAAATTTCAGACTCTTTCGTTAAATACCCCAACTTACCCAGTGTTATTTTTTTGATAATTTTTTCCCTTTCCTATCCTTTAACTCTCTTTTGCTGCGTTCTCAGATTGAGAATAGTAAAGGACGAAAAGAATTGCAACAGCTCTTTTTGTTGTTAGAAAGTGAATTTTCTTTTTTTTTTCGATTATAGATTCGAGAAATTGATTGGTCAGGGCTTTCAAATTGAGGAATTAGGGTTTTCGAGCGGATTGAATTGGCTAGGGTTTTGTTACAATACCATTGGTTTTTGATTTGGGGGTGGGTATTTTGCTTGGGTTTGATGAGAAGAAAGGTTGGGTTGGTGGGTTTCTAGGGTTTGTGACATTGGGGGTGGGTTCAATGGGGAGCAATGGAGAGGCTGACCGTAAACGGTGTCACTTTAGCTCCATATCAGCCACTGCTGTTGCCGCAAAAACGCAACCATTCCTGCCAATTTCTGAGGAGAAAAAAGTATGGTCTTTGTTTCTCATTTTGTTAAAGTTTTCTGATTTGAAGTATTTATTTTCTTAAATTTCAATTTGGAAAAAAATCAAAATTACTTGGTTTCTAACTTCGGTTTTGATTGTGTATCAAAACTGTAATTGCTATTTTATTATATTGTATGTACTTTAATCTCTTTTATGCGATCAAATTGAAGCATGTCCAATTAGGGTTCTGACCTAAAGATTGGAACTTTAAACATTGATACCGGAAATATGATTTTTTTTTCTTTTGATTTCTAAGGATGTTTATATTATTTGAGTTGATCATGGATTTGATGCAGGTTTATTTGCTGCCAATGCTACTTAACCCCTCCCCCCTTTGCTGGTCTCATTTACCTCACAGTAGTAACTATATTATTTGTACCAGTCTTCTCACTATAGTTGTATGCTTTGGTTGAACATTGCTAGTTACTAGGTCTGATGTGCTCAGACTTGAATATGGGAGATTATCATGTTTTCAGGGAGAGGATTTTGATTGGGGTTTGGGTAGATTGATTGGTCTGTGTAGATTTTGAAGTTGGACTTTATTGATTCTTTTCGTGAAATATCTTCCTCTAGAATCAGAAGCCTCAAGCCCTAGTTTCTGCACTAGCTTTGTTAACTCTAGATAATGCTTGTCGACAAGAATTATATGTTACATAAAGGTTTTTTTTTTTTTTTTTACCTGTGCTTTTATATTTTCCTGCTTTCGAATAAGATGTTGTTGTACTTTTTGTATTGCTTTTTTGGATTGTTGAATGCTAGATTATAAAATTTTTGGGAAATAATTCATCTGCCTACAAGTAGATTGCCAAACTGAAATGTTTTCTTTGTTTATAACTCATATTTTTTGAACCTTCTCCTAATGCCCCCTCCTTTTTTGCTGGAATGATGCAGCTTAATACTACAGTTTTGCAGTTTAGGAATCAAAAGCTTCAACAAAAGTTAGAGGCTCAGAAGGTTGAGTGTTCTGCTCTTGAGAACAAGTTCGTTCAACTGAAGGCGAAACAAAAGCCATATGATTCTATATTGAAAGTGGTGAATAAAACATGGGAAGCAGTAAGACCCTGTCCAAACCGTTAGACAATTTTATGTATTTGCTGCTTATTAAAGGAGGATGAGAATCATATTTATATCTTTTAGGTTCTGCTTTACTTAGTAAACTGCTTGATGGGAAATTGACATTATCCTTTTACAATAGCTGATTACTGACTTGGAATCACGTTCCGTCTGCACAAGAGAGTCTGGCAGACGAGATGTTGGACATGCACCAAATATCGAGGGTGAGAATCTTCTGCAATGATTTGGTTTCTTTTATTATTGTTGTTGGCCCTTGTAATGAACTGTTAACATAATTCAAAGGACTATGCTTTATTTCTTGTTCTAACTTGTAAGGTTGAGCTAAATTTGGCAATCCTGATTTATAGGAGTATAATATAATTCTTCTGTTGTCTATCTTTGGTTTTTAATTGTTTTGCAAGTGTACTTGCTGAGAAGGCATTTGCATTGCTATATAGGTGGGGCTCCATCTCTTACTGAGGATGCTTTTCTTAGCCGACTTATGGAGACAGGTGCAACTGAAAGTTCCTCATCCTATAATTGCCCTGAGCAGATTAAAGAAGATAGAGAACATACTGCCTCTGACAGGACTGGAAACATTTTACACAATATACTAGTTGCCATTGATGACCTATGGTGCCTGAAGGATGGATTATATGCTGCAGTTCGGAAAGAGCTTCAGAATGATGGTATGTATTTGGTAGAAAGTGTGCATTGTGTACTATATAATTTTTTTAATAATTTCTTTTCTAAAGTTGTTACTCAATTAACCGTATGCATGTCACTTTATGCTAGGTTCATGCAGGCAGCAGGTGTCTAGTGAACTAGAATCAGACGTTAAGAATTTGAGATTCAGAATAGGTGATATTCATTTGAAACACAGATCTTTGGTGAGAGAATTGCAGAGCCATAGAGATATTGATGCAAAAAATAAAGCTGAGCTTAAATGTCTAAAAGGTAACTTTCTATATGTGGTCAGAATTGGTGTGTTAGTAAGCACTGGTAACAACATTTTCAGTTGCCTGGATGTAACATTATCATTTACCACCTAAGCAGATTCATCATGCACAGATATGTTCTTAACACATTTATGATACATTGGTCTTTCATGTATGTGGAGGCATGGACAAAAATCAGTATGCACACCTTCAATGTAATTATGTAAATTTATGCAATCCACACAATTCTTTCACCTTAGACAAACTGCTACTCCCTCTAATGCTGTGGATGGGCTAATCAATGGGAGCTAACCCTTCCATTGTGGTTCAAAGGCCAGTTAATTATAAGGGTATGAAATATCATTGAAGTATCTGTAAGTTTGACTGTCATAGTTTGCTTTTTCTTTCGAAGGTGAATTGGAGAGTGCAGTAGCAGAACTGCAGGAAAGTAATTGCAAATTGGCAACTCTTAAAGCTGAAAGAGAGGCAACGAAAGGGGGATTTTTTCCTGTCTTAAACCTAGGCACCAAGCACATTGCTGGTGATAAAGTCAAAGATAAACATAGAGATCTGCAAGAAATGGAGTCTGCTCTCAAAGAGCTTTTGGTAATTCATACTTTCCTTTAAGTTATCTTGTGAAATTGCTGAAACTGAAAGTCAATGCGGATGATTAATTTGAGCTGAACAGGAACAAGCATCGTCTCGACTAACAGAACTAAAAGGTCTTCATGAAGAAAGAATAAAAATATTACAGCAGTTATCAAATTTGCAGGTTTGCTTTTTTAAGCTATTATATTGTTTTTTTCCTTTATTTCTGAGATGCGGTTCTGTTTATTCAGTCATATAAATTGAATGGGGATTTCTGATTAATAGAACACATTGAAGAGTGTAAAGTGTATTTCATCTTCCCAAGCTTACCATTTGGTGAGAGATCAACTAGAAAAGTCAAAATCAGAAGTTATCCACTACCAAGATTTATTTGAGAAACTACAGGTTGTTACCGGTCGGTAGTTTCATTTATGCCTTTTGTCTGTTATTTTATTGAGGGTGTCCAATTCCAATGCTAACTATAACTTTCCTCCTAAAACTTTTAGGTTGAGAAAGTTAACTTGGCTTGGAGAGAAAAGGAGTTGAGTATAAGAAATGATATAGCTGATGTTTTTCGGAGATCATTGACAGTTGCTGATTCTAGAGCTTCTCATCTTGGGACAGAGATACAGCGACAAGTTGATGAAAAAAAGAGAATTGAAGCTAAGCTGGAAGAGGCATCTAGAGAACCAGGTAGGAACATATCTGCTGTTTGCCCTGATTCTGAATTATCTGTTGTTTTCATCTTATAGCTATTCCTTTTGCTGAAAATCGGCTTAAAATACATATACATTTCAGGAAGAAAGCAAATAATTGCTGAATTTAAGAGCTTGCTTTCTTCATTTCCGGAGGAAATGAGTTCAATGCAGAGTCAATTAGGTAAGTACAAAGAGGTTGCCGTGGATGTTCACTCTCTCCAGGCTGACGTGCAATCTCTTTCCAGCATTCTTGATAGGAAGGTTTGTACTTTTATGAGTTGTGTGGTTATTCCTGGTGTTGCTTTAAGGGCTTAAAGATCCTCTTTTCTTTCTGCAATATGGACAGGAAGATTTTTTAAATAATTATTTCTGAACAGGCTAAAGAATGTGAGAATTTATCTGTGAGATCTGCTGACCAAGTTGCTGAGATGCATAAGTTGCAAGCCATGGTATGATTGGTTAATGTTACTCTATTATTTTGAGTTGAATCTGTGATAGGAAATTGATGCTTGTTCAAATTAAAGGGAAAAATGCCTTCTTTTACCAGTAAAATCTTCCTTTGTCAGCCTTTATGCTTACTTTTCTTAGAAAAAGGAAAAGCTATTTGTTTATATTTTGTTTTGTTCTGTTTTTTATTACAGGTCCAGGATTTGAAGGACAGTGATGTGGAGTTGAAGCTGATACTGGATATGTATAGACGTGAATTTGCTGATTCAAGGTCAGTTTATCCATGCAAGATGCTTTCGTTCATTATCTTCTGCAGTGTATTCGCATCACACTAACTTTATTTCCATAGAACAGTCTGGATACCAGAATAATCTTTTGAGATTCTCTCTCACAAAATTTCTGGTGTTTAGTGCTGCTTGGACTTAGACCAACCATCTCTTTCTTCTGTGCTGTAACTTTGTGTTTTATTGGAAATTAGTATCAGCTAAGGTGCAACAGAATGTTGGCATATCTTATGTTATACTGTTTACAATATGCTACCTCTGGTTATGTTGTGTTATGAGTTGAAGTGCTGATCTTGCAACCCTTGATATGGTTCTATTCTTGATGTGTAGTTCCAGATTCTTAAAATATTTTTTTCTGTGATTGCAGAGATGTTATGGAAGCGAGAGATTCAGAATACAAGGCATGGGCTCATGTTCAAAGTTTGAAATCCTGTCTTGATGAGCAAAATTTGGAATTGCGTGTTAAGACAGCCAATGAAGCTGAAGCGATATCTCAGCAAAGGTTGGCTGCTGCAGAAGCGGAAATTGCTAACTTGAGACAGAAACTGGAGGCTTCTAAGAGGTTAAAGTTTACTTGTTATTTTTTTCTTTCTAGTTATATGATACAACTAGACCCTATTAATGCAACTATTTGATGTCACCAATTCAAATATCTTATTTCAATATGCCTTTTCTTTAATGTTTGTGAAGTGGATGTTATCTAAATCTTTCCAGCAAACCTGCAATTGCCATTTCTGCAATCGGCAAATGTTTATTTAATGTGCCTAGACAACTCCACCATACAGTATTCTCTTGAAATTCTCATTAGCCAAGATATAAATGCAATGGAAATAGTATACCTGGTTTTTGTGTAGTTGCTACCTTTATTATGAGAAGTATGTGAAAAACTTTAAATATATTGTTATTTCAGGGATAAGGCTAGTCTTTCTGATGCTTTAAAATCCAAAAACGAAGAAAATGAGGCTTACTTATCCGAAATAGAGGTTAGTTTCTTGTCATTTAGTCTTGGCTCTGTCTTTGGTACTATCATGATGTTTTCTTGAGGCTGTTAGTTTGGTTTTGCCTCAGTCTATTGGGCAGGCATATGATGACATGCAAACACAAGACCAGCAGCTATTGCTGCAAATTACAGAGAGAGATGACTATAACATCAAGGTAATCAATTTATTTGGTATATGATATTCAGAGATCTCAATGAAAAGTTTATACGATAGTATCATTATACCTTTTTTTTTTTTGCTGCTCACTGCCATAACTGATGGGTTCTCTTGATAATTTTTTATAACTGTCTTTTTGCTGACTAAATATGATTGAATTTGTTTAACTCTTTATGCTTTCTTTTAAACCTCAAAGTGTCCAGTTATCACTAGCTTTTTCGTATAATCAAAAAGATGTTTGACCATTGAATAGAAAGTTTTACTTGCAAACCAACCATGGAAAACTAACAATTAAAAGGGAGGGCATTATTTCCCTTAAATTACATGGGGAAATAGAGCATTGGAAGTTGAGTTTGGTGCTTGGTCTCAATTTGGTTGTTAATTCTCAGTATGAAGATTTGTAGAGGCTTCTAGGTTCATTATGCTATTTCATGTAGAGAACTCCTACTTGTAGAACATCCATGGTTTTCTGTAGAGACTTGTATTTTGCTCCCAGAACTTGATTTTGCTTTAATGGACCTCTTTCAGCTTGTCTTGGAAGGTGTGAGGGCAAAACAGCTGCAAGACGCTCTACTTTTGGAGAAACATACCATGGAGAAGGAGATTCAGCAAGCGAGTGCATCCCTTGATTTTTATGACATGAAAGCTGCAAGAATTGAGGATCAGGTATGCGGACTTATTTTGTATGAAATAATATTCTAAAAGTAATGAGATTTTTGAGTCTTGAGCAATTCTTTTTTGTAGCTAAGGTTCTGCTCAGACAAGGTTCAGCAACTTGCACAAGAAAGATTTCAAAAGTCAGTTTCATTGGAAAATACGCAAAAGCGATTGTCAGATGTGAGGAGATCATCTCATCATGCAAGGGAGTCACTGGAGGACTCACAATCTAAGATTGAGAAAAGTCGAATGGCATTAGTGGAGTTGCAGATTGAGTTAGAGAGAGAAAGGTAAAAGAACTTATTAGTATTTTTTATGTTTCCGTTTGTTCTTAAGTGCATAGGGTGAATTCATGTCGGTCTTTCTTCACTTTATTCATCTATTAGGTTTAACAAGAAAAGAATTGAGGAGGAATTGGAAGTGGTGAGAAGAAAGATGGTACGTCTTCGAGCCGAGACAGAAGGATCATCAATAATAGAAAGGCTTCAACAAGAACTTAGAGAGTACAGGGAAATACTGAAGTGCAGTATCTGTCTTGACAGACCGAAAGAGGTAAATGCGCAATTCCAATTTAGTACTTCAAGCTGGCAGTTATTCAACTAGGCCCTTTAGTGTTGCAGTTAGAGCTTTTATTCTCTTATGTGCTGACAATTGGATAGGAAGCTTCTGTGCCATTTGACTATATCAAGAATGGTTTTTGTACCTGTTACTTCTTAAGAAGAAATACTCTTTAACATTGTTTTTATAGCCATGGCTTGTTCAATTCTGTTTCAAACAATGCTTTTGTTTTGACCTTTCTTCTCTATATGTTTTCTGAATTTGCTTATAGATTGTTTGTCCCTTCTTCAGGTTGTTATTACAAAATGCTACCACCTCTTCTGTAACCCTTGTGTACAAAAAATCACCGAAAGTCGTTACCGCAAGTGTCCAGTCTGTGCTGCAAGCTTTGGTGCTAATGATGTTAAACCTGTTTATATCTGATATTGGAGCTCTCATTTGCAACCACTTGTCCGTGAGATTCAGCATCTTGCGTGCATCCCACGACACAAGACATATGGATACTCACAGGTTCCCAAGCATTTTTATTTTAGAGAATTGTTAGAAAAAGAATCTAGACAGGAACTATAGGGTTCCTTTCCATTTGGTCAGTGCAAATCCTCTCAGATTTGCATGTATGGTTCCAAGTTGATTGACTTAATTTGTCATATATATGATGTTTGCCTCTTCATTTAACTGCTTGGAGCCACTGGAATCCTTCAAGTTATTATTTGCAGATTAGTCAGAATTGATCAAATTCTATATCCATAGCCATGGACATTGCCTGATCCTATAATGAAATAAAATTTATACCTCAAATTTATGATTTAAATCTTCAGTTTTTGTTCTTTTATTTGTTGTGGGGAAAGAGAACCTTTATAATTGCATCATAAGCCTTTTTCTTTGAAATCAATGATTTTGATTTTGCTTGTGCTTCTCAAGGGATTAATGAGAATGACCGAATTTTGTATGTGGCTTGATGGTAGCAATGACTCAAAATTCATAAGAGCCGGCATTCATTAGATCTGAAATTCAAATTTTTAACTTTTGCAATCTTTCTCTATGCTTGGATCGCAATTTCGTTACAAATTTTTCTATTTGATTTCGTCTCTTGCATTAAGGATTAGAGTTTGTGTAATTGTTCCAGTTGGAGGATGCTATGCGGTTATGGTTTATGCCATTAAAGAGCATTTGCTAATAGTTTTGATAATGGAAAGGGCTGTTTGGTTTTTGTATACATGTTTGTATAGTTTTCATAGGGTTCGGTTTGTGTATAATAAGAAGATTGTTTTGTTCGATTGAGTTTGATTTATTCAAATGATATGATATTTGTATTAGGTTCATATTCGATTAAATTAAATGAATTCGTTCGTATACATTAAATAAACGTAAATAAATATAAATGAATATATTTATGAATAATAAATAAATTATAATAAAATAAATTTTAAAATAAAATTAAGATAAAAATATAATAATAATAATAATGTTATTATTATTATAAATAAATAATAAACAAATTAATTTTAAATGAATTTTAAAAAATTTGTTTACAAATATAATTAAATTAAAAAAATCTATTCATATTTAATTTTTTTTAATGAAAAATATAAAATTATTATTTAAAATTATCTATTAAACTTAATAAACAAATAAAAATCATATATATCCCCCCAAGATGCTTCCAAAATTTTGTTTGTTTACACCAACCCTACTCCCCGGCTGAGCCGGTCGCCCACGTGGCTAGGTGGCCATGGCAATTGTGCACCGTTGAAATGCACGAACGGTCGGCTTTCATTGATTGGTCAGAAGTGTAATATAACATGCCTACTTCCATTTCTTGTAATAAGAAACAAAAGTATCCATGGAACATTAATCGACATGACAACGACACGAGCTTTCTGTCAATTGTCGACTGAATTATAGCACAGATGGCTTCGTTTACTTTGTTTTCCGTACGTTGTACATATTTGGCATGAAAATTTATGTATTTTTTAAAATTTTAAAATTTTCATAATTATTTTTATTTTATATAAAGATTTCATATCATAATTTATATAATATAAAAATTATGAAAAATATATTTTTTAATTTTTATTAAACATATATTTTTTATTAAAATTTTAACTGAGATTATTTTTATTTTTTTATATATAATATTATTATACTTTCAATTTGGATCAATTATGGAATAATATTATATTATAAAGTTTACGATTTACTTTGATCTTAAAACGAGAAATCCTCAAATTTCCCTTTTTTTTTTTTCACCATAAAAATTAGATCTTTTCTAATAATGGAAAATAAAGGCCCTTTGATGAAATAATTTGGACCATTTTCTATACACGGTGGTGTGAGTATTCAAAGTTGTTAGGACTATTTTCTCATGAATTTGGATTCCAAGATAATTAACTTTTTATATTTGTCTTTTCCTTCGTGACATTTTAATTTAATAATTTATATTATATAAAATATTATATTTTATATATTTATATTATATTTTACATAAAAATTATATATCATAATTCGTATCGAAACGAAAATATAAAATATATTTTTTTAATTTTATTAAACTTAAATATAATTATTATTAAAATTTTAAATTATAACACTTTTGTATTTTACATTTATATTATATTTATATCGTATTTTAGATTATTAAATCTAATTACATTCTTTGAGGGTTTATAGTATAATCTATGGATATAAAGGGAAAACCATTGTCCCAATAATTGTCCCAAAAGACAAAAATTTAACCCCAAATGATAAGGTACTCGTGGGTCTCTTGATGTATGCTTGGTTTACCATATGATATTCTTTGTCTGTTCTAAAAGGCCAATGGCTACTTGAAATTTGGCTAATATGATGGAAAATAGAACATGAGACAATGAGGGTGGTGTCATTGGCCATTAGGTATAATAGTTTCTTGATTTGAATGAATAGATCCGACAATTCTATATTTATCTTTTATAAAATATTAATAATTTATATATTTATATCTTATTTTATATAAAAATTATGTATCATAACTTATGTTAACACGAAAATACAAAATATATTTTTTATTTTATTAAATCTATAAATGATTTTTGCTAAAATTTTTAACTTATGCCACGTTATTTTTTTTTTCATATTATTTTCGTGTTATATCATTGTATCATGCTTTAGATTATTAGTTTAATTTAAGTCCTATACTTTGTCACATAACACCCTTTGGCAAAAAAAATGAAGGATATTTTGGACATGGAAATTACTTTGGTTAATTAGATTATGCTGTCACCTTGTTTGGGTTCTCCTACATGCACACATAGCATAGGAATCTGCCTTGGTTAATTTCCTTTTGCTAAATGATGGTAGGAAAATTTGGTGCTGGACAAAAAGCATAACTATTTCTCCATCACCTTCAATTTTGCTCACTCTATATCATCAATTTCTTCGAGAAATTATTCACCATATGATGGATTTCCTTCTTTAGGTCTTTTTCCAACCAATAGACATAGAAGGATATCTATATTTCTTTTCCTTTTTTCATGGTAATTACTCTAGTTATTTTATTATCTTTAGAGTTAATTATGTGAAAAGTTCATTAAAATGGGGGCATCTGAATATAAAAAAATTATAAATGATTAGATTTGAATATTAAAATTGTGGGATGTTGTCTCGTGTTTACATAAATCGACTGAATCAAATTTTGAACATGAATTACACTCGCAAAGAAGAAATTTGCCATTTATTAATTGTTTATATATGTCTAGTGCTCGTATTTTACAATGGAGATTAACAATTTCATCTCTCTCATATGTTTCTTGGAGAAACTGTAGACAAGATTGTAACATTGCCACTGCCTTTTGTATCTCTCTGAACCAAGGTTGAACACAAACCACCAACAATTCACGATTCAAAAGCGAGTTTTCCTGATTGGTTTCCTTTAGGGAATGCAGTGATTATTGTGTAACAGATGAAGAAATTTGAAAGTTAGAGCTTTGCTAGTAGTATTCCCATGAGAATGGCTCCTCAGCACATATTTGCCATGTTGAAGAATATGAGTAAAACCCATCTCTTCGATCCCTGGCATCAATCATGAGATCAGGGAGATCAAAGAAGGTGTCATCGTTATCGATAGAAGGTGATGAACTTGATGATTCTTGTGAAACAGGAAGTTCTTCAATGTTGCATCCCCCTGTCTTGAGAAAAGTTGAGGCAGCTGCTTGAGAAGCAGCGGCTTGGATATCCTTGGGAGTGGTACTGGCAGGGCGTGGGAGTTGCTTTGCAAGTTCAGGGAAGTTAAGGTAAGCGGAGTGGCCTTTAATGGCCAATGCAGCTACATCATGGGCTCGAGCAGCCATTTCAGCTGTAGGGTATGTTCCAAGCCATATCCTTGATTTCTTCCTTGGTTCTCTGATTTCAGACACCCATTTGCCCCAGCTTCGCTTACGTACTCCACGGTATGTCTGATGCTTGCCATCATCATCATCACTAGTCCTGTGCCTCTCATTTTCCAAGTGATCTCCAGCTTTCTTTGACCCTTTAGGAGCCACACCATTGTTTGAAGTTTTCTTGCTTTGATGGGAACCCAAAAACGAGAATGTGGCGGAGGAAGTGGCGGCGGTGGAGACCACGGAAGAAGAGGTAAGCAAGTTGTTATGGTGAGCATCATTCTCAATGTTGATATCTCTTTCCATGACTGATAGAAGCCTAGTTGTAAGTGAAGAAAGAATTTTGAGTGATTGGCATATGATATAACATGGTGGTCTAGAGCAATTCTTGGTTGAGTTCCTAAGGTTAGAATACTTTATTTATAAGAAGCAAGTTCGAATCTCGTTGTCGTCTTATAAACGATCTGTAAATATAACATAAATTTTTTTTAAGTTTCCGATTTATTTTATTAAAAATTTTTCGATAAAAAAAAAAACATAATGATGTAGAACAAAACTTACATAAAATTTTTTAAATGAAATTTATAAAATTTTTTCTTAAAAATGATTTAATAAAAACTTTAATAAAAATTATAAACTGATAAATTAATAAAATTCAATATAAAAATCAATAATATGTAAGAAAAAAAATTAATATAAAATATTATTTATAATTTCAATATGATCAATACTTATATAATGATAAAAATTCTGTCAAAATATTTACTAAAAATGTCTATATAAAAATATATATAAATTTTTTCAATTTTTTTTCAAATGTTGCACACTTAATCTTTATAATGAGATCTTTCAATCTATCAATTTTGATTTTGATTTTAATTTTGATTTAATCATTTTCAGTAAAAAATTTCACAAACTTCACCTAATAAACTTTATCTAAATCTTTTCTAACGATGCAAGGGCTTATATGTTAAGCTAATTTGTTACACATAGGCAAATTGAATGATAATCTTAAGGTTTTGGCTAAGGGTAATAACGGTTTAGATCGGATTTGATTTAGTTTTTTCAGATATTACATAACATTATAAAAATTTAAAATATGATTTGAATCCAAACTGAACATTCTTTGATTTGAATCGAATCAAATCGAATTAAATTTTATCAATTCCGTTCGATTTGATTTATCGATTTTTAATTTTTAATTTTTTTAATTTTTAGATATTATTTTAATATAAAATTTTAATATATTTAAGTAGATTTTCACACAATTATTAATTTTATTTTATAAAAATTTAAAAAATATATAAAAACTAAGAAAAATATATAATTCCATTCGATTTGGTTCAATTTTTTTTTATTTTTTACTTTTTGATTAGAAATCTGATTCGTACTTAATATATACATTTAATATCTAAACTTAATCTGAACAAAAAAAATAATCTAATCCGAACTGAATACTACGATTTTAAATCAATTTTCGGATTTCTCTTTTTTTTTCACCCCTAGTTTTGCTCTGTTCTAATGCAAATTTTCTACTATAGTGAATTTCAAGGCTTAGGTATTTCTATACCTAATGTATTTTAATAATAATCAATTTCCCATTTTCCATAGGCAAAACTTGAATCATTTTGATCTTTTAACTAATTTGGTTTAGTTTTTTTGGATATTGCATAATATTATAAAAATTTAAAATCTGATTCGAATCCAAACCGAACCTTCTTTGATTTGAATCGAATCGAACCGAACTGAATTTTACCAATTTCGTTCGGTTCGATTTATCGATTTTTAATTTTTATATATTATTTTAATATAAAATTTTAATATATTTAAGTAGATTTTCATACAAAATTATTATTTTTATTTTATAAAAATTTAAAATATATATAAAAACAAAGAAAAATATATAATTTCATTCGATTTGGTTCGATTTTTTTTTTCACTTTTTGATCCGAAATCGAATTCGTATCTAATATATACATTCAATATCCAAACTTGATTTGAACCGAATAAAAAAAATTAATTCGATTCGAACTAAATACTATGATTTTGAATCAATTTTGAATTTTTTGTTTTTTTTTTCACCCCTAGTTTTGGCCTGTTCTAATGCGAATTTTCTACTATAGTGAATTTTAAGGCTTGGGTATTTTTATACCAAATGTATTTAATAATAATCAATTTCCCATTTTCCATAAGCAAAACTTGAATTTAATTGATTTGGTTTAGTTTTTTTGGATATTATATAACATTATAAAAATTTAAAATTCGATATGAATCCAAATCGAACTGAACTGAATTTTATCGATTCTGTTCGGTTCAATTTATCAATTTTTAATTTTTAAATATTATTTTAATATAAAATTTTAATATATTTAGGTAGATTTTCATACAAAATTATTATTTTTTTAATAAAAATTAAAAATATGTATAAAAACTAAGAAAAATATATAATTTCGTTCGATTCAGTTTAATTTTTTTTTATTTTTCACTTTTTGATCCAAAATTTGATTCGTACTTAATATATACATTTAATATCTAAACTTGATCTGAATCGAATAAAAAAAATTAATCTGTTTTAAACTGAATACTACGATTTCGAATCAATTTTTGAATTTCTCTTTTTTTTTTCACCTTTAGTTTTGGCCTATTCTAATGCAAATTTGTTACTATAGTGAATTTCAAGGCTTGGGTATTTTTATACCTAGTGTGTTTAATAGTAATCAATTTCCCATTTTCCATAGGCAAAACTTGAATCGTTTGGCTTTTTAACTGATTTTTGGTAGGCTAAATTAGGGGTATAAATGATACATTAATACCGCAAGCTACTCGGGTTCTATTCGAATAAAACTTGAATTTGATTCGATTATTATCGAGTCAAACTCGAGTTCGAGTAACTCGACTTATCGATCGAATCGAGTTTGAGTATTCTTATAACCGGCTCGAGTAGCTCGTGAGCCTAATCGAGCTTTTATATTTAAATTTTTTTATTATTTTAATTAATAAAATAGCTCGAATACAAGTTCGAGCTTCAGCACAAATAATCAAACTCTTGTTGAATATAAGAATCAAGTTTATTTTAATATATTAATCGAGTTTAATCGAGCGAGTTCGAGTAACTCGATTTCAATCACAAATCGAGCTCGAGCTAAAAAATAAAATTCGATCAAGTTTGAGCCTCAAGTTGGGAGTCGAGCTCGAGCTGTATCGAGTTGGGTGCCGAGCTCGAGCTATATCGACTCAACTCGACTTGATTACACCTTTAAGTCAAATGGTACTCTCATTGAAAACATTTACAGTACTATACTTCACATGAAAGTTGTCTCAGGGCCTTCAAAGACATAAAGGCCTTCGATTTTCACAGATATATATATTTTTTTTCTTTTTCTCTTTTTTTTTCTTTTTTTAGATCAAATAATTTAAAAAATATATAATAATACAATAAAAATAATACAAAATTATATATAATTTTAATAAAAATTAAAAAAATTATATTTAATATATTAATACAAATTATAATACAATAATTTTATATTTTATACATATTATACATAAAATAAATAACTATAAATACTAGTTTAAGAAAATTAATATACCCACACATGAACAAAGTATCTTGGTCTAGATTAGCTCATTGATATGTCAACTTCAATTTGACCCGACTGTATCTTATACCTGACTTGTCATAAAATTTTATAATTTTATCTCGCAAAAGACGTCATAAATTAAAAGTAATATAAATATTTATATCTTAAGATCGAATTTAGTATACACCAAAAATATAAGATTTATGGTTCGTTTTTAAAATCACGACATCCTCTTCTATTTAAATGAGAATTTATTATTTTTGATGATATATTGTTAATATTTTAAAATCGATTTGAATTCTTAATATTACGATTTACATCAACTTATAAAGTTTCATTTAGATTCATTGAATTTCATAATTTTATCTTTAAAAAAAATTTCACAAATTAAAAATAACGTGAATTATTGATGTGAGATGACATCGAGTTTGTTTCATTGAACACCACACGTTAAAAATCTGAAGGACCAATGGATCGAAATCTTACCAAGTTGAATGGACCTACACAAAAATATATGCTTACAAGCATTTTAAAAACAGATTGTCAGATTGCTTTCAAAGCAGCCATGGAAAGTGAACATGTGGGTTCTATTTATAAAGGAAGACAATATCTGATGCAAACCGTGCACAAGTTTTTGTTTTTCTATAATCTTCAAAACCAACACTCAAAGTAAACATATCAGTGACATATTGGTTTTGATTATTATTATTATTACTAAAATCTACTAATCATCATTTGAAGAAGGTTTCAAGGGAGGGTATGACAAAAGCAAGAATGGAGATATACTTTTCTAATAGCTATTCATCATGTTGATGTAATTCTTAGTCTGATAGGAATGGAGTTCAAGCAAGTATGTCAGATCCATTATAAAAAAGTAGGTCAAAAGATGTCGAAATATATGATAATTTAAAATATGATATAAACACGATATTAAAAAAAAAAAACATTAAAGTAATAACGTTTAAAATTTTAATAATAATGATATATGAATTTAATAAAATCAAATAAATATGTTTCATATTTTCGTGTCGATACGAATTATAATACATAATTTTTATATAAAATATGATATAAATATATAAATTTAAATATTTCATACCATACGAATATATGAATGATCAGATCTATAAAAAATAATTAAGGCCGGATTTACTCTTTGAAGTAAGATATCTAGGACATTCAAAAAATTAAAAATTAAAAAAAAAATTCTTTTATCAATAAAATTGATAAATACATCGATGGGTTTTTTATATATATTACAAGTTGGATACCTCTGAAAAATATCTACATCGGCCATTAAAAGTTATATTTCGAAACATACTTCAACGTTTAAATCAATCAAGTTTACGAAGAAAAAAAAAAAAAGAGAATGGAACGCAGAGAATAAAGAGAAGGTAAAGAGTTTTTGTGAAAGAAGCAATTTCTCCCACCTTATCATATGAGAGGGGCCTAGAAGAATGATGAAAATTCTGATATGTTGCCCTAATTAAGGGCACATGACCATCATTGAAAGGACTTTACAGACCTTTTGAGATCCTTCTATAATTGTTTTGAGGATCAGTCCCAGAGCTTTGCCCCATCAAACTAACTTCATCAGTCACTCGTGCAATGCCTGCATCCTTTCAGAGTTTTCCTAATTCCCAACATTCTAATCTGAGTGACTGTATTCCTTATCTCATTGCTTCATCCATTTTTAAAATTTTATTATTTTTTATTATTTTTATAATAAAATTTTATCATTTTAAAATG